TTGGAGGAGAAGCTCGACTGCTGCTCTGCCGCACGACTTCCGGTTGCTGGTGCTGGTGCCGCGCGTCCCCAGCGGGTAGGCCCCACCGCCCGGCCCGCCTCGGGTCGCCTCGGGTCGTTGTGGTGCGGTACCAGTGAGCCCCCCAGCCCCCCATCCTCCTACACATTCCGGCGCACTCTGTCTGTCTCTCTCTCTCTCCCTCGCCGCGTCTCGTTGGCACTCCGGCCGCCGGCACTACTCGTGCACAGTGTTTAGTTACGTGTGACATGCGTCGCCTGCCCCCCCCCCTACCCCTCCGGCGCCCCCGCTCCGTGGGAATGGAACAGGTGTACTGTACCGAGCGCCATATAATAATATGCGCACTATGTGCTTGGCTGCGGGGGGAGCGGGGGGTGTATGAAAATGAAGCCAAACGTTGTGTGTGCGTGTGGTGGGGAAAAACGGGAAGGGGGGGGGGCAGGGGTGGTCTGCGTTTCATCATCGCCTCCAAACTACACAAATATTTATTATCAGCACGACAGTAATAACAACAAAGGAGGCGATACAACGGGAGCAGGAAATAAGCGGGCGCGTAGAGAGGGTTGCCGAGAAAGGGGGAGAGCGGAGTGGAGGGGAAATGAGGGAGGGGGGGGGGAATGAGCAGGCGTGTATGGGTCGGAGGGGTTGAAATGAGGTAGCATAAGGCAACGCAGGGTATGTATTCTGTTTGCGCCGGTCGAGGCATATTTTACTCGTAATGTACAAAAATGATATGGAATGTCGTATGTACAAAGCGCGGGCGATCAAGTTCTCCCACTTGGTGATGATGATTATGACGAGGCAGCTAGCATTCGCTCTCCTGCTGCTGCTGCTGCGCCGGCTGTGGCCGCTGCGGCCGCACGGTGCCGGGGAGGGGCCGACCTCTGGGCGGGTCCGTGGAGGGCTGGACCTGGAGCAGACGAGAGGGGGACGGGTCACTGCCGGAGTCTGGGTCGTGTTTGACTTGCAGGGGCGACCGCGCGCCCCTGGGAGAGATGAGTGGAGTGCCTCATGGCCGGATTCCAAATGTAAAGCGTAAGATTCAGCAGAAATACCGTCTTAAAAAGTTTTTGAAATAATGAATGTCTTTTAAAAACAACATATGATGTACACAAGAGAACAGTCGCTTTCGCGACCTAACTATACGCATTTTGAGAAATCAGTATCAACATGACTTTAATCAGGGGTCGATTTGGATTCTGGATTAAAGCGTTTTTGCTTTACATATTTCGAGAAATTTTTGTGATTTTTGTGATATTCAGGGATCATCTTGATACTTGTTTCTCAAAATTTGCATAGTTAGGCCAACGCACACCCTACCCTCGGTCTCCGTCCCCCCTCGGTCCCGGTCTTACCTCGTCGGTCGCTGCGGCGGCCGCTCCCTCCCGCCCCCCGCCCCCGGCCGCTGCGAGCAGCTGCCCGCCCTCCTCCTCGTGGAGGCCGTGGGGTGGCGGCGGCGCGCAGGGGCGGCGGCTCGTGCTCCTCCTCGGAGGCGGCGGCGTCTTGCCGGCCCTCCTGGCCCTGGCCCTCCAGGAGGAGGAGGTTGCGGGGGCCGAGGCGGAGGCGGCGCCCGCCCTGGGGACACCTGGAAGCACAAAAAGGCGGCAGGAAGTTCAAGGCTGCGCCGCTCCGCCCGGAGTCCTCCGGGCCGCTGCGTGTCCTTAATGACAGCGCAATCACGGAGTCTCCAGGGGCGGAGCGGAGCAGAGATAGTCCAGAAGGACGCTTGGATTTAGGGCAGGACTCCGGGCGGTTCCGGTCACGAACATTCCTCGAGGACTTGACTCCCTCCCGGAGGCTCGGGGATCTCTGCCTTTCAGGGGGAGGAGAAAAGAGGAGAGGGTGGTAAGGAGATCCAAATACTACTTTGCTTGATGCCCCTGAGGGGGTGGCTCATTTGTTTCTACCTT